AGGCGCATAATGGACAATTTCAATCATTTTCTGTTTCGCCTGGGTTTGGAAAAGACTTTTAAAGTCCTAATGATATGTTGTAGTCGGTTAAGTGCAAGGCTCCAGCCATCCGAGATGACGGATTTTTGTGATATATACGTCATCATTGCAAGCATCTTAAGCATTTTAAATATTTATTTGGATATATGCCATATTTTACCCCCACTGAATGTTGCTCAAAGATATTGCTATCACAAAAGCGCCGTGTCCATTAGCCGACTACAAAAGCTGCATGTACGTTCCTAGTGAATCGCATCTTATATATCAGCTGGTCATAATGAAACCTCGGAAAGATATCTTGTGGTGTTTTTCTTGCTTATTCATTTTGGTTGTCTGTATATGCACTTACAATGCCACATCACAGCACACAGTTGATCGACCCGAATCGAAACCACTTGAGCAGACTATGGAATCAGGATGGTTTAACCCAGACAGAGCTCGTCGAAGTTTGAGATACCAGTTATGCACAGGGAATAAGACAAAGTTCGTGTATGGCGGAAATACATGTTTTCACGACCACGCTTGCTTCAAGATTTTTTCAGATTGTTGTTGGGATTACCCACAGCAATGCGGGCGACAGGAGTCGACGAAAACTACTGATATCAAAGAGCCTGTTTCAGCGTGGAAATGTGTGGAATTCAGTCCCTCTCTGGGTCTGCAGTGCTGGTTTGATGGAGTATCTGGGGTTTGGATGATTTCCAAGTGTCCAGTAAACGACACCAAATGGATGAAAGCCAAATGTGAGGGCGCCCCATCGGAGTTTTCGTATCCCGTAGAGGAGCTTATTCCCGTAGTTGGAGCAAATGCCCTCACTTACCGTAATAAGTATTGCGCCTTGTGCAATGGCGTGGAAAATTTCACAGCTTGGGATATACGTGTTGATACATACGTTGTTCCCCGCGAGGGCTACGACCTGAATCAACAGTTAAAGTTTATCTTGCAAAACGGGGGAACGATTAAACCATTTTCGCCCCACATGGATCAACCACGGAGGTATTGTTATGGAATGAATTATATAGACAACTGTAATAATTCAACAAATCAACATTATAAACGTTGTATTGAAGGTCCTATTGCACTCGTAACAAGCAGCGAACATAAATACTTCAAGAACCCTGAATGTGCGTCGTGTAATGGTTATCCTGGCCTGTTCGTATGGCACGTAAAAGGTGATTGCGGGCCCGTAGCATCTGACAGATTTTCGATCGTATTCAAGCTGAAGAGGACGATTGAACGTGTTATTACGACTAGTGTCGTGTCAAAGTCCTGTCCGTCTGGTTCCGTTTATGATACAAGCTTGAAGTTCTGTCGCAAAGGATATGTTATTTCTTCCAGTAATAAACTTGCCAACGAATTTTTTATCCTGCTGTGGTTAAAACATCTTAGAAGCGACTGGAAACTGAATTCGACACTTGGAAATTGGCTACGAACTGCATTTACATCTCGCTTTTTGCTTTTTCCAAATCAAATCTCTGAAGTTACTTTCCATAAGCAATACATATCAGCCAATACTTTTTTCGTTGCGACGTTTCGGTTAACCCTGACGCCATTTCAAAGCCTAGTAATGGCCAACCCAAATGAACCGGACTTGAACATCACTCGCGAAAATATCGCTTTTTTGCAACTTTTGAACTCCACAGGCAATTTTACGGTCGCTTACGATGGATACAATGTTTCTATAATAAATTTAATTTTAAAACAGCTCTCGTGCTACGGAGAGGAGAAGTCACATGAACACGACATTGACAGGGAAAATGGAACTTTTGTCCGGAATGGAACAGGAGAAAGGTTGTTACTGGATGACTACACTATTGTTAAAGAAGAAGGTGGAAATGTTACATTATGTCGTAAATTGGTCTTGTCAGATTGTTTGGGAGGATCTTACGTTCCGTTAGCTCCAAACGAATACAGGACTTTTCCTAATTTATCAGTTTATTACAAAGCAACGAACCAAACTTTCCATTTCGGAGATTATCTGATCAGAGAAAATAGCAACGTCACATCTGAAGACTCAGGAAACTCGACAATTGCCATTTGTTTGCCATTCAAAACCACGTTCAACGAAACTGAAGTACAATACAAAAAAAACCGGACAAGTTATGCGTTACGAATTCTGACTACGAGTGGTTTTAGTGTTTCGATAATCTGTTTGTTTCTTCTTCTGTTAACTTATGGATTATTCAAAGAATTGCGGACAGTTCCTGGATTGAATCTGATGAACTTGAGTTTTTCCATGTTTCTGTCCCAACTCGTATGGCTGGTGGGTACCTCTCATTTCACAGGGACAACCACATGTAAAGCTTTCGCCATAGTGGGACACTATCTTCTGCAAGCATCATTTCTGGCCATGTCCGTCATTTCACATCATGCTTGTCTCACGCTATCAAATCCCTTCATTGGACGAATCGTCAACAAATCTTTGCGGAGATTTATCGCGTATTCAGCATTCGTGTGGTTAATTCCTGCCATTGTGGTCGCAATTTGTGTCATTTTGGATGAAACAGAAGTCTTCTCAGTGGATTATGGAACAAACTGTTGGATGGGAACTGCAAATGCTAAGCTGTATTTGTTCCTGCTACCCTTGGCTATACTTCTACTGTATAATATCTTCAGATTTATCCAAACAGCACGTGGTTTATCTCGTCATGACAAAGACCGGAAAATGTTACAACAGAAAGAAGGAAAACCAAATCTTCTCATCTGCGTAAAAATTGCGACGTTGGTCGGCTTTCCCTGGCTGTTTGCTTTCTTTGGTGTTCTGTTTCCCGATGTTGAAGTGTTCGAATATTTGTTTGTTATTTTCGTTTGTTCGCAAGGATTGTACATTGGAATGGCATTCCTGTTCAACAAGGAAACTTTGAAACTCTATCTTGATCGATGGGACGTGTTCTTTACATCGCGAGAAAACTCATTTTCACAAGCGACTGGTGCGCTGACCTTTGAAATGACATGATGAAAATGCGAGCTAGATTTGCAACACATCTTAATTTCACTTAGGCGTAAATACTAATACTACAGTTGGGGACAATTGGCTTCAATTGTTTTTCCAATGTATACTTCTATCATAGTAATAACCTACTTCTATTAGCGACTTTAACTTGCCGCACTTAATACCGTATATAACTTATTAGTAACTTTAACTACGCTTGGGTATTGCTTTATAATTGCTTTATTTATTGCTAATATTTATCAAGCCAGGGGGGGAGGACAGAGTTTGTGAGAGATGAAATTTTTACTCAAGAGTAATAGCTCGAGTTAAGAGCATGTCAAACCTGACTTTTTACTGTCAGAATTGATGCATGTAAATATCGAGTGAATATGTAGCTAAGAGGAAATCGACTTAGGATAGACCTTATCACTGGCCCATGTGCTTTTTCTTGCCACAGTGTGAAATATTTCGCCCCTTTTAATTTCGAGCATAAAGTTTTTAAAACAATTTGTTCGTAGTTTGAAAGAGACAGCCCTGCAATACGTTTTCTTTGCCAAAGTGAAATGTTTCGCCTCTATTGAAACCACTCGAATAAGTCATTCACAATAAACATGTTATCCATTCATTTGGACGAGGCTACCTTCGACGCTATCATAGCGATTATGGCTACAATTGGATTTTTTACTGCATAAATATTCCAAGAATTTTATAAATGGCGTAAATGTGTCAAACAATATAAGTCCTTGAATCTTTCTTCAAGATATCACTACAGCAGAGTCTCTGCGTCAGCTTCTCGATCATAGAGAGGTGCTTGTGCATTCGGAATAATTTAATCGCTCTAGTGGATGAACCATGAAACAACCGAAAGATTTCGTGTGTTGTGCTTCTCCCTTATTCATTTTGATCGTCTGTATATGCCTTCACATTGCCACATTACAACACACAGTTGATCTACTCGAATCGAAATCATCTGAGCGGACTACGGAATCAAGACGGCAAAACCCAGGCAGAGTTCGACGAAGTTCGAAAAATTATACATGTAGAGGAAATCAAACAACGTTTGAATACAGCTCGAATGGTGGTTGTTTTTACGACAACGCTTGCTTCAAGATTTTTTCAGATTGTTGTCCGGATTACCCAAAGCTATGTGGTGGACAGGAGTCAAACAAAACTACCGATATCAAAGAGCCTGCTTCAGCATGGAAATGTATCCCATTTGGTGTCGCGCGCGGAGAGGATATTTCATGCGTAGCCCTTGGAATAACCGGGGTTTGGATGATAAATAAATGTCCATCTAACGACTCCGTCAACAGGTTAGTAGCCAAATGTAAGGACGTCCCAATGGGGCTATCGTATCCTACAACAGAGTTTTCGTATTCTGTAGGGGATATTATTCCAGTGGTTGGGGAAAATTTCCTTACCTACCGTAATAAGTACTGCGCCTTGTGCAATGGCGTAGAAAATTTCACATCTTGGGATATACGTGTTAAAACAAACGTTGTTCCCCCCGAGGGCTACGACCTGAATCAAAAGATCAAGTTTATCTTGGAAAACGGGGGAAAGATCGAATCTTTTTCGCCCCACATGGATCAACCACGGAGGTATTGTTATGGAATGAATTATATAGACAACTGTAATAATTCAACAAATCAACATTATAAACGTTGTATTGAAGGTCCTATTGCAGTCGTAACAAGCAGCGAACATAAATACTTCAAGAACCCTGAATGTGCGTCGTGTAATGGTCATCCTGGTCTGGTCGTATGGCACGCAGAAAGAGGTTGCGGCGGGGGCGTAGGATCTGACAAATTTTCGATCGTATTCAAGCTGAAGAGGACGATTGAACGTGTTATTACGACTAGTGTCGTGTCAAAGTCCTGTCCGTCTGGTTCCGTTTATGATACAAGCTTGAAGTTCTGTCGCAAAGGATATGTTATTTCTTCCAGTAATAAACTTGCCAACGAATTTTTTATCCTGCTGTGGTTAAAACATCTTAGAAGCGACTGGAAACTGAATTCGACACTTGGAAATTGGCTACGAACTGCATTCACATCTCGCTTTTTGCTTTTTCCAAATCAAATCTCTGAAGTTACTTTCCATAAGCAATACATATCAGCCAATACTTTTTTCGTTGCGACGTTTCGGTTAACCCTGACGCCATTTCAAAGCCTAGTAATGGCCAACCCAAATGAACCGGACTTGAACATCACTCGCGAAAATATCGCTTTTTTGCAACTTTTGAACTCCACAGGCAATTTTACGGTCGCTTACGATGGATACAATGTTTCTATAATAAATTTAATTTTAAAACAGCTCTCGTGCTACGGAGAGGAGAAGTCACATGAACACGACATTGACAGGGAAAATGGAACTTTTCTCGTGAATAAAACTGGCGAAAGATTGTTACTGGATGACTACACTATTGTTAAAGAAGAAGGTGGAAATGTTACATTATGTCGTAAATTGGTCTTGTCAGATTGTTTGGGAGGATCTTACGTTCCGTTAGCTCCAAACGAATACAGGACTTTTCCTAATTTATCAGTTTATTACAAAGCAACGAACCGAACTTTCCATTTCGGAGATTATCTGATCAGAGAAAATAGCAACGTCACATCTGAAGACTCAGGAAACTCGACAATTGCCATTTGTTTGCCTTTCAAAACCACGTTCAACGAAACTGAAGTAAAATACAAAACAAACCGAACAAGTTATGCGTTACAAATTCTGACTACGAGTGGTTTTAGTGTTTCGATAACCTGTTTGTTTCTTCTTCTGTTAACTTATGGATTATTCAAAGAATTGCGGACAGTTCCTGGATTGAATCTGATGAACTTGAGTTTTTCCATGTTTCTGTCCCAACTCGTATGGCTGGTGGGTACCTCTCATTTCACAGGGACAACCACATGTAAAGCTTTCGCCATAGTGGGACACTATCTTCTGCAAACATCATTTCTGGCCATGTCCGTCATCTCACATCATACCTGTCTCACGTTGTCAAATCCCTTCATTGGACGAATCGTCAACAAGTCTTTTCGACGATTTATCGCGTATTCAGCATTCGTGTGGTTAATTCCTGCCATTGTGATCGCAATTTGTGTCATTTTGGATGAAACAGAAGTGTTCCTAATAGATTATGGAACAAATTGTTGGATGGAAACTGCAAATGCTAAGCTATATTTGTTTCTGTTACCCTTGGCTATACTTCTACTGTATAATATCTTCAGATTTATCCAAACAGCACGTGGTTTATCTCGTCATAACAAGGACAGAAAAATGTTACAACAGAAAGAAGGAAAACAAAATCTTCTCATCTGCGCAAAAATTGCGACGTTGGTCGGCTTTCCCTGGCTGTTTGCTTTCTTTGGTGTTCTGTTTCCCGATGTTGAAGCCTTCGAATATTTGTTTGTTATTTTCGTTTGTTCACAAGGATTGTACATTGGCGTCGCTTTTCTGTGCAACAAAAAAACTTTGAAACTTTATGTTGATCGATGGAACGCATTCTTGACGTCACGAGAAAATTCATCTTCACAAGCGACTGGTGCGCTGACCTTTGAAATGACATAATGAAAATGCGAGCTAGATTTGCAAATCTTGATTTCACTTGGGTGTAAATACTAAACGATACCTGGGCACAGTTAGGGATAATTGGCTTTAATAGTTTTTCCATTGTATACTTGTAGTAATAACCAACTTATACTAGCGACTGTAACTTGCCGCATGCACTTGGGCTCTAAACCAATAGTTTTGCGTTGCATACTTCCACCTTAGTGGAAACTATATAACTTATCAGTGACTTTAAGTACACACATTGGTATAGCTTGCTATAATTGCTTTGCATTTGATTTCGAGTTTAATAATATTTAGACATGCAGACATATCCTATTCAGTGAAAATGCTTCTTTAAGTATACTCGTGATTCCTTCTGGTGACATATTTCGTTAAGGAATTAGCTTGTTCAAAAATGGGGACAGTTTATACTCCCTCAAATTTCATATTGTGCTTGTCTTTACCTTATTGTTTTAATTGGATTTTATTGTATAGTTTACAAGGATTGTAGCTACATTGCATTAGCGTTTCTTTTTCACCAAAAAACTCTGAATCTTTATAAAAGTCTATGGAAAAAAGACACCACGTTTAATTCCTACAGCAGCAACGGACAAAGCATTCAGACGAGGTCAAAAAATGCGAATGAAGAATAAAATCGCATTTTATTAATTTTAGGGGATTTTGTTAAATTCAATCCTTTATGATGACCCTCATTTTGTATGCCTGCCGACCTGTTCAATTTTAATGTAGACTAGCAGGCTAAAGATAAGGTTTGCTAGCAGTGGCGTAGCCAGCATTGCATGCATGCCTGACGATTTAGTTATGCTATGAAAATTTTATTGTCGACCTAGCTATAAGATAATGTTTGCTAGTCATGGTGGAGCGAATTTTTAAAGCTCTGTTGGCTCTATCTGTTATACAAATATATCCATGCATATACTCCTGTTTTTGTCCATATTGTATTTTCTTATAAAAATCGTCCACTACAGTCTGTTTCATCCGTATATAGGAATCAGCAGGGGTTATCTTTATATCAGCTGCGAAGTCCGGATAGAAAAATATCTTGGTAGACGTTCATAGACATTTTAAATTAAGGTTTTGGAAGAAATATTTTCCTAAAGTATTTTGTGACGATTACAAGGTCATTTAAAGCGAAGCTGCAGCACCAGCCACCAAGCTAACTTTTTCAAATTACGGAGAAGCTATTTGTTTTATCGTTTTATGGCAACAAACGTTACGATAAAACTGTTCGAACTCGCTGTTCGAAACTTAAGTCGCTGCGATATCATGCATGCATAGCGCTTCAAGTTCCATTTCAATCCAATTATCGTTATCATTTTAAAGTGCCTATATATCAATTGTGGGATCTTTATGCATTTGAAAAGAATGTAAAAAGTTAGTTGATATATTAAAAAAGTTTTTTGATTTAGTGCAATAATTTTGAAGATACTAGCCTTCAAACTACCTGCAGTTCCTGAGTCCCAGGCTCCTGTAAACAATGGGCAGTAATAGCCGTGTTTAAACCCAGGAGGTTGGGACTCAGGAACTGCAGGTAGTTTAAAGGCTAGTATCTTCGAAATTATTGCACTAAATCAAAAAACGTTTTTTAACATATTAACTAACTTTTTACGTTCTTTCCAAATGCATAAAGATCCCACGAGTGATATAGGCACTTTAAGTTATCTTTTTATCAAATTATCATTTTCAAGTTCTCTTTCCATCCATCCAATTATGTCATCATCATTTTTCAAGTTTTCTTTCCCTCCATCCAATTATCAATATCATTTTCAAGTTCTCGTTGTATCTGTCCATCCAATTATATCATCATCTTTATTTTCAAGTTCTCTTTCCATCCATCCATCCATCCAATTATATCATCGTCATTATTTTAAAATTCTCGTTCCATCCATCCATCCATTTTTCAAGTTCTCTTATCATCCATCCAATTACCATCAACGTTTTTAAGTTCTCTTTACATCCACCCAATTATCACCATCTGTTTAAATCTTGAGCAGCTGAGTGTGGAAATTAGGCGAGCTTTTCTCAGGGAAATGCGAGTAAATATTTTACCTGTTTATATGATATATATATTCAAGGACACACATGGAAATTCAAATCTTCGCATTTCACTTCAGAAAAATATTCAATTGATCAGAATATTATCAAACAATGTAGACCCCCTTGAGCTGAAAGTCATTAGTGTTATTGCTATCGCAAAATCGCCGTGTTCTCGGCTATAAAAGGCTGTGTACATTTGGGGTAGCTAAATCACACAGCAACGGGCATAATGAAGCTAACGACAGACATTTTGCGCTATTCTCCTTTCATATTCGTTTTGATGAGGTGTATATGCGTTCACAATGCCACATCACAGCGCACAGTTGATCGACTCGAATCGAAATCACTTGAGCGGACTATGGAATCAGGATGGTTTAATCCTGGCAGAGCTCGTCGAAGTTTGAGACAGGAATTATGCACAGGAAATAAGACAGAGTTCGTGTATAATTATAAGAACACTTGTTTCTACGACCACGCTTGCTTCAAGATTTTTTCAGATTGTTGCTTCTTAGTCGGAATATGCGGCGTTCAGGAGTCAACCAAGACTACTGACATTAAAGAGCCTGTTTCAGCGTGGAAATGTGTCGAATTTGGTCCTTTGCTTCGGCTCTCAGGGCAGTGTAAAATCATTGGAGTTACCGGGGTTTGGATGATATCCAAGTGTCCAGCAAACGACACCAAAGGGACAAAAGCTAAATGTGAGAATACGCTATCCGAGTTTTCGTTCCCCTTAGGTAATCTCATTCCCGTAGTTGGAGCAAACGCTCTCACTTACCGTAATAAGTACTGCGCCTTGTGCAATGGCGTGGAAAATTACACAGCTTGGGATATACGTGTTGAGACATACGTTGTCCCCCCCGAGGGCTACGACCTGGATCAACAGATCAAGTTTATCTTGGAGAACGGGGGAACGATTAAACCATTTTCGCCCCGCAACGGTCAACCGCGGAGGTATTGTTATGGAAAGAATTATATTGATACCTGTAGCAATGAAACAAATCGACATTATAAATTTTGTGACGGTCCTATTATGGTCGTAACAAGCAGCGAATATCACTTCAAGAACGTTAATTGTGCTTTATGTAATGGTCATTTCACTTTAAATTGGGAAACAAACTTTATCTGCAGCCCCGTAACATCTGAAACGTTTTCGGTCGTATTCCAACTAAAGAGGACGAGTAAAGGGTTGTCTACGACTAGTGTCGTGTCAAAGTCCTGTCCGTCTGGTTCCGTGTATGATACAAGCTTAAAGTTTTGTCGCGAAGGATATGCTATATCTTCCAGTAATAGACTTGCTAGTGAATTTTTTATCCTTTTGTGGTTAAAACCTCCTCCTAGAAGCAACTGGAAACTGAATTCGACACTTGAAAATTGGCTACGAACTGCATTTACAACACGTTTTCTGCTTCTTCCAAGTCAAATATCAGAAGTCACTTTCCATAAGCAATACGAATCAGCCAATAATATTTTTGTGGCGACGTTTCAGTTAACCCTGACGCCATTTCAAAGCCTAGTAATGGCCAACCCAAACGAACCTAACTTGAACATCACTCGCGAAAATATGGCTTTTTTGCAACTTTTGAACTCCACAGGCAATTTTACGCTAGGTTGGGATGGATACAATGTTTCTGTGGTAAGCGTTGTTTCAAAACAACTCTCGTGCTACGGAGAGGAGAAGTCACATGAACACGACATTGACAGGGAAAATGGAACTTTTCTCGTGAATAAAACTGGCGAAAGATTGTTACTGGATGACTACACTATTGTTAAAGAAGAAGGTGGAAATGTTACATTATGTCGTAAATTGGTCTTGTCAGATTGTTTGCGAGGATCTTACGTTCCGTTAGCTCCAAACGAATACAGGACTTTTCCTAATTTATCAGTTTATTACAAAGCAATGAACCGAACTTTCCATTTTGGGGAGTATCTGATCAGTGAAAGTTTGAACAAAGAAAATAGAAACGTTACAACTGGAGATTTAAAGAACTCAACGATTGCCATTTGTTCACCATTCAAAAATACTTTCAGCAAAACTGAAGTAAAATCCAAAAAACCCCCAACAAATTATGCGCTTCGTATTTTGACTACGATTGGTTTCAGTGTTTCCATAACCTGTTTGATTCTTCTTCTGTTAACTTATGGGTTATTTAAAGAGTTGAGAACTGTTCCGGGATTGAATCTGATGAACTTGAGTTTTTCCATGTTTCTATCCCAACTCGTATGGCTGGTGGGTACCTCTCATTTCACAGGAACAACCACATGTAAAGCTTTCGCCATAGTGGGACACTATCTTCTGCAAGCATCATTTCTGGCCATGTCCGTTATTTCACATCATACTTGTCTCACGCTATCAAATCCCTTCATTGGACGAATCGTGAACAAGTCTTTTCGACGATTTATCGCGTATTCAGCATTCGTGTGGTTAATTCCTGCTATTGTGGTCGCAATTTGTGTCACTTTGGATGAAACAGAAGTGTTCCCAGTAGATTATGGAAGAAACTGTTGGATGGAAACTGTAAACGCAAAGCTATATTTGTTTCTGTTACCCCTGGCTGTACTTCTACTATATAATATCTTCAGATTTATCCAAACAGCACGTGGTTTATCTCGTCATAACAAGGACAGAAAAATGTTGCAACAGAAAGAAGGAAAACAAAATCTTCTCATCTGCGCAAAAATTGCGACGTTGGTCGGCTTTCCCTGGCTTTTTGCTTTCTTTGGTGTTCTGTTTCCCGATGTTGAAGCGTTCGAATATTTGTTTGTTATTTTCGTTTGTTCACAAGGATTGTACATTGGAATGGCATTCCTGTTCAACAAGAAGACTTTGAAACTTTATGTTGATCGATGGAACGCGTTCTTGACGTCGCGAGAAAATTCATCTTCACGAGCGACTGGTGCGCAGACCATTGAAATAACATGATGAAAATGCGAGTTAGATGCGCAACCCAATTTAAACTAATCGATATCTTGAACAGTTTGTGCGATTAGGGATAGCTTTAATCAATAGTTTTTACATTGTA